GACCTTATACTTATTTGATTTAAATGCTTGATTTTTATTGTTGTCTTTTAATTTTGTTTTGTAAAGATACCATTGTCATTGAGTATATAAATCTGTTCTTAACGTTCAAAAATTATTTCATTGCTGACAGCTGCAAAATGTACATCTTTTCAATAAGCAAAATTCATATGAGGCATTGAGATAGTGAGAAGAATTAAATTGAGGTAACATCCTGAATGTTGGGCTCAGCAAAATCAGTTGAGATTCCTTTAACTATCCTTCACATGTAATGCGTGGCAGATGAGTAAACCTATTACTTTTTTGTCTCTTATCACATAAATGAAAAAACCCACAATAGATGACTTCCTTTGACTTTTATTGGAAACATCTTTGCAGAGGACAGAGATATTGAGTAGATATAAATCAGAGACAGACAAGCCCATAGCCCTGGGTTTTGGCCCTCTTAACCATGCACCAAGAAGGAAGGTGGTCCATTTTGTAGGACTTTGAAATGGTAGTGAATGTTTTCTGTAGAGAGAGAGAACAGTTATTTCAGTTAAACAAGAAAATTCTGCCATTTTTCTGTTATATGATACTTTTGAATCTAGATAACCTCTGGAATATGACCCTAAAGTATTAGTGTGTTGAGAATAATTTTGAGTATCAACATCTGTACTCGTTATATGCTGAGTTAATATATAATGCTCATATATAAAACCTCAAAATCTGGAACAGACATTTGTGAAGTATTCCTTGAAATAAATGACAGCCCTTTGCCTGACTTAGTATGCAAAGATGAATGGTTCTTCCAGTGGCCATTTTTTATATTAGCTACTAATGAGTATTATTGAGTCACCGACTAATTCTGAAGAACATTTTGGTGAATTATAATTGGGGCTATGATTTATGATTATAATTGGGACTATGGAGACTGACAGGCCATTCTTTAGCCTATAATTGTAGTCGAAGCAGAGAAATGTACCCTGGTGATCAGCATTTCCTTTATGGGGGTCAGGGGATGACAGAGGAGTCAAAAGCGTAATCCAGCCAAAGTAAAATATTATTTTTGTTAGCCATTTCTGCATTTTATTTTTATTAAAAATGACAAGGAAATGGGAAGTGCTTCCAAACTTTGGAGGGAAGTCTCTTGTCCACATATCATTCTAATATTCAGTATATAAAGCATCATTCATCACAGGTTTTCCCTGATGTTAAATGATTCGTTATAGTCAGTGAACCAGAGAATAATTCAGGTGGAGGTACAGAATTTAGAATCACGAGCCAGATACACTGGCCATCTAACTTGCCTATAAGGGCAAAATCTGGTCTTTGTATTCACTGGATTTATTGTAAGTTTAAATGTATTTATCTGCCTGTGTTTCAGACCTGCTGAGTAAAAAACAGAACAGTCTGACATGTAAATAAGAAAACCTAAATCCAAACAGGCCCATAGATACATGAGGACTTTGGTTCTTAAGTAGAACCTGGGCATTGAGATGTCTACTTATTTTTCTTTATATGCCTCCTTTATCATATAATGGAGGCATATAAATCCATGCAAATGGATTTTTGGCTTTGCTTATTTTAGTCTCTTTTGAATATTTTTTTCTGTAAGTTGGGGTGTGTGTGTGTTCTGTCATATTTTAGGATGAAATGGATCAGGAAGTTGTGACTTTTTTCAAAGCACTTGAGTACTTCTCTAGTTGCTTCATGGACTCCTGGGCCAAAGGACTCCCTATTTTCCTTCCCTTAATCTCTTGTGCTCTTTTCATTTCTTTTCTCATAGTCTTTTTGTAAAAATTTGGACACACCTGGTAACTCTCTTCTTTTAGGAGCTGATAAAATGTTTGGTTTTCTGTGTTGCTGATGGTTCCTTCTTAGCCTCCTCTTTCAGCTCCCATTCCTCTCTCCAACCTCTCGGTTGTATAGTACATAAAGGATTGGTCTTGAATCCCCTTTTCTTCATACTTTCAAAGGAGCCCTTACGTATATTATTCTCTCCCCCTAGAACTTCTTCCTTCCAACCTTTTTCTGTCTAATGCTCACTTCTGCCTTTTCTTCAGATACTGGGCCATTTGCATTTGTGATTTGTGATTTGAAAAAGATATGGCAGTATTAGAATATCTTGACCATTCAGCATAAACCCTCTGCTTTCCTAATCCTATTCTTCATACTTAGGCACTTTTTTTTTCCCCCCTTGCTGGATGATAGTCATATTCTGTTTTTTATTACCCAGCTTAAAAGTCATGTTGATTTGTGACACTTTGTATAAAGAATTTTAAACATTTAAACCAATATGAAAAAAAATTGTTTTCAGTCCAATTCAAATGTTTTGTAACACTCATACTCCATTTTATATTTACCTTATTGTTAGTATTTTTGTGTACATGCGTTATATTCCCTAGTACTAAACTCCTCAAAGGACTTAATTGTGCCTCCCACAGAACATAGCATAAGGTCTTATACATAGTAGTTACATGTGGGAGGCCCAACTAGCACGTGACTGTGTCTGACTCCCCTGCTGACCGGTGTGGCATCCGGCAATCATGCTGTGATCTGGATAGCCCTGGTCTTCTAGGGTGCCAGAGACTGTGTCTTCGTGCATAGGCATGGGTGTGCCTTCCTACATCCCCATGGGTGGAGCTATGCTTACCTGTCTTTTTATAATACTACCCCTTGCCCTCTTTGGGATAGAATGTTCCATGGAAGTGCCCTTTGTGTGTCCCCTTCTCTTACACTTCCCTTGAGTGTGGCCTACCTAGATGTCAGTCAGCCTTCTGACAGCAGACATCTTGAAGCTAGATTCAGCCCCCTGAAACCTGACCCCTTACCTCATTTAAATAGGGGTTAGCAGGTACATACACACACACACTCTCTCTCTCTCTCTTTTTATATATATATATATATATATATATATATATCTCCCCGGACCCTTAAGGTCAGAGGAGCCGTCACAACCCCCCCAAAGAAAAAGGTATTTCTGTCTCTTGTGTGGTTATTTCACGTGGCCCAGTTAGCCTAGTTCCCCTGGAGTGACCCCTGAGTGTTTTAGTTGCGAGCAACCCAGCAGTTACACAATAAATATTTACTAGGATAAGCTAATGAAAACGATCACTAAGTCAAGCAAATGTTTTGTTGTTTGGTTTTTGTTTGTTTTTTAGTACTGAGGTTTGAACCCAGGGATACTCTTATCACCAAGCTACATCCCTATCCCTTTTTATTTTTTAAATTTTGAGATAGGTTCTCATTGAGTTGCCCAGGCTGGCCTTGAACTTGAGACCTTCCTGCCTCAGCCTCTCACACTGCTGGGATTGTAGATGTACACCACTGTGCTCAGCCTATAAAGGGAAATATTTTCATTAAATCTTCCTAAAATTCTTCATTCTCATTTAAAAAGAAATGGGAGACTTGGAGTCTCTTGGCCCACAAGGTGCCTATTTGTACCTAGATATAACTCGAAGTTAACTTTATATTAATCTATCTGAGAAGGTAATTCAGAATCTTGAACATTTCTGTATTTTTCTTTCTAAGATGGAAAAGGGTAAATAGCTTCTATTTGCTTTGAGCTCCTTATTGATGGTATTCTGCTCTGCTGACTAATCAGAGTTGTATTATTTACCTTATTTGAAAACACTATTTGAACATTTTTTTCCTCTCCTTTGAATTGTAGTTGGATATTAATTCACTGCTAGAGGAGACATTGGTAAAGATTTCTGAAATTGCAGTACAGTGTTTCTTTAATCTCTCAAATTTGTTAGAGGCTTTATTATAATGGAGATCATAATCTCCTAGTTGGTAGAAGAGATGAAGTGGTTATTGGGGATATTTTTCCCTTGCAGCAAAATTGCTATATTCGAAAATGTTTCGTCCAGTTTCTTAATCCTTTCCAAATGTTAAAAGGTCCTCAGGAAATAAGTAGATGGCACCGATTTCCTGTCTGTCACAAGGCATTGAACAGTGTTCAGGTCACTGATTCAGAGTTAGAGGCCTTGCGTCTTTTCAGGTGAATCTTGAAAGTAGTTTGCTTTAGTAATATGCTCATCCACATTTTTAACTACTAAAATGCTCAAATGAGACTGTGATTTGAAAAAGATATGGCAGTATTAGAATATCTTGACCATTCAGCATAAATTGTGAAGTAGCTGGCGAGTAAATGGTTTGAGGAGACAAGGGAGAGTGAGCCTTTAGGCCATGAGTGTTTGTTATCTCCTTGGTTTGGTATTCAACATAAATCTTAAGGGCCAATTTTGATGTACTAGCAAATTTAGTTCCCTGAGATGACCTCCACATTTCTATTTTCCACTGCTTTTTACCCTCCACACTTAACAATTTTTGTTTCTTTGTGAGGCAGGCTCAAGATGCAATCCCCCTTAGAAATGATGACATTGATGTATTTCCTCTTTCTGTAGCATTTATGACATTGCTTACTGATAGATATTGTTTATTAAGTATTCATAGCTTGTGGAGTGCTGAGCAACAGGAAGGATATTCAGGCCCAGCTAAGGCATAAGATAATAGTAATAGGTTCTCATTCTAACAGGATGTTATGGTGACACTGGGACTGTTCTTTGTAATTTAATCTGGGATTGACAAAAGATGGGTGTTTCTGTCTCATGACTTTTCACTGCCTGGCACTGCTTGATAGTTATCCTGAGTGGCATTAGGGGAGGAACTTGACAACTTGTTTTCTATGAATATTTAGGAAAGGTAGTTTTGAATTGTCCAAATGGCCCCTAAATTTTGGGGGGAAGATAAAAAGCAACAACAATATGATTAAAATAACTACCCCAACCTAATGTTTGACATTTCAAAAGGAATAGAAATTAGTTTATTTTTGACAAAACCACATTTCTCATATGTAGATTTTTGAAATGAGAATTTTGCATCTCATGTCTCCCCAAAAGAAATCTGGCTGTTGTGCATACTCTATGAACCTCATCCTTCTTGGCACACTCAAAGGTGCTTAATCTAATAAGCATCACTCACATCTATGAAAATAAATTTATTTTCTTATGTTCTAGCATGTCATCAGCTAATAAGTCACATTGAACAGTTTTTGGATACTAACGAAACACCATATTTTATGAAGAGCATGGACTGCATCAAAGCCTTCCGGGAAGAAGCCATTCAGGTATCTTTCTTCTCACCTATCTTCTCTGCCCAAGCTATTGGCAGCCATCACGGGGAAGAGAAAACCAGCATCCCATCAATAAGCCTGGCCTTTGGAACTAATTATTCTCACTATGAATAGCAGTTGTGTGCCAAGAGAAGTGGGAGTGACCATTGTCATTTCTGAGGAGGAATTAATGTAGATGGGTGGATGCTTATCCCTTGAAGTGAGCTTTTTATGCTACTAAAGCTCTAGCTTTGTGTGCTGCTCAGGGGCACCAGGAAATTTACATTGTAATATCTGATAGCCCTGGCATTATTGTGAAGGATGGGCTAATTACTTTAGGAAAATTGATGAAAAACATGTATTGGTATGATTATTGAAGAAGATTTTACAAAGACAGAAGTAGGAATCTAAATGCCAGGGGAAAAAAGAACACTAATAATAATAATAATAATAACAACAACAACAACAACTCAACACACTCACCTTTGTGTAGGGTTTTTGTTTGTTTTATTAGAAATTTTTAGAAAACACTTCTTAAAATCTTCCAAATTATTTATAGGCCTCTATACCTCTAGGCAAGAGGTGAGCAAGTTTAAATTAGAAAGTATGTTTTTAGGGAAGGTACAGTTGTGATATATGTTCTTGTGTGAGTGCTTATTAAATATTTGCTGAATGAATGAAAAAAATTAGCACTGGAATTATTTTAGGTGTTTACAAAAAAATGGCAAGAAAATGAGAAAATCCTTAAAACTGGATTAAAGTAAAAGATTCAGAAGCAAATGACCCAAATACCCTACAGAAGACAAAATTTGGGGAAGTAGAGTCAAGACAAGACCAAGTAAAGATAATTTACTTGGGTAGAGAAAGATTTCATTAGATGAAAAGAGAGTAAAATGTATTGTTTTTTAATAAGTATTACCCCAGGTAAAGGGAGCTAATAGCACTTCTGCATGCTGTTGTCACCACATGCACTGGGTCACTGGGTTTCTCAAAACAGGAAAAAGAAGATTGGGGAGTAGGTCAGTGGTTGAGCATTTGCCTAGCATGAGTAAGGCCCTGGGCTTGGTCCTTGGCACCACAAAAAAAAAAAAAAAAAAATTAATTAGTTAATTAATTTTAAAAAGATGGAAAAGGAGCAAAATAAACTTTAGAGACTGGTCAGTCAGTATTAATGAAGACCTATATTTAACTATAAAATTATTTTTTAAAAAGAAATAATTAAGAAAATATATTAATTTTAAATTTTGCTTCTCTTAAGGAATTAATAATTGTTATGAGATGCAGAGTAGCAAATGAATATATTTTATTAGAAAAAAGAAATAATTTTTGATATTGCATGCTGAAATATGTATAAGTTAAGTAATAAAACTGAAATGTGTTTCAAAATAATCCAAGTGTTATGGGAGATGAAGGTAGGGTCTAGATGAAGCAGATGGTTAAGTAATAATTACTGAAGCTGAGTGATCAGTACATGAGCATCCATTGAATAATGAATTATTCTCTTTTGTTTGATATTGTTTGTATTTAGTTAAAAACAAAGTTTTAGGTACCAAAAAAGCTATGTGGCTCTGGGAATGTTGGTTCCTTGCGTAGGTGGAAGGATTTCTGGTTTTCAACGAATAAAGCTCAACTTGAATTGCCAGCTTCCATCTACCTTACAAGAACTTTTAAAATAAATAAATAAATATGGTGGATTCAAAATCTGTTGTACCTTTGTCTGAAGATGATGGATTTTGCCCCCACAGTTTTCAGAAGAACAGCACTTCAACAGTTTCATGAAATCCCTTCGAGAGAAAGTGGAAGTTAAACAGTTAAATCATTTCTGGGACATTGTTGTTCAGGGTAAGGAGTTCTTTGTTTTTTGGGTTATTTCCCCCTCTAGATATTGATGCTGCTGCATATCCATACAACTTCTAAACATAAATTATATTGCATGATCTCCTAGGTGGGGAAGCCTGGTGACTGACTGACATACACACACACACACACACACACACTCTCTCTCTCTCTCTCTCTCTCTCTCTCTCTCTCTCTCTCTCTCTCCACCCCCCCAAGTGAATCTTGAAAATAGTTTTCTTTAGTAATGTGCTCACCCACATTTTTAACTAGTAAAATGCCTGCCCACCCGCCCCCCCACCACTCTCTCTCTCTTCCTTCTTCTTTTGTGGTACTGGGGATCAAGCCAAGAGCCTCAAACATGCTAGGGAAACACTCTCCCAGTGAGCTACATCCCCAGCCTTTCATTTTAGTTCAAGACAGGGTCTAGAAAAATTGCCCAGACTTTCTCAAACTTGAGAGCCTCCTCCTGCTTCAGCCTCCAGAGTTGCTGGGCTTACAGATATGTGTCATCATGCCCGGTGGGACCTGATAGACTTCCCATTTGGCTTTGAGAAATGCCCAGGATTCATTGAACTCAAAGTCCCCTTTAGTAAGCATCAATACAGAGTTGATAAATACTAAGTGGATGTTACACTCTGTGCAGCATGACCCATTTCTAAGATTGTGCCCTTCTGTTTGTTCACTGAAGCCACTGTGTGGACAAACTTTGCCCCGTTCTCATATTCTTAGGCTATTTCCATTCTCTTTGGTCCACTGCACTTGGACTGACTTACCCAGATTTTGCCTCCCTGCTACCTTTCATTACCACATTTTTGGGCTTCCCAAGTCAGCAGCCCCACATCTTCATTCACTAAAGCCACTCATTTCCTCACTTATTCATAGCAACCACTACAAACTAAACCCAGAGAGGAATGAACACATGTTCTTCCAATGTTACATTTGATATTTGATTTTCTTCATGCATTTTCCTGTTTTTGAAAACATGACCCAGTTTTCTTTCAGAACTCAAGTATATTATTTATTAAAAATACATATGAAAATAAATTTAAGAGGTGGTATGAAACTTTCACTTATAAATCAAGAGGCAAAAATTAGTCTCCACCTGTTTTTCAGTGTAAATTCTGGATGGGGTTACACACCTATCTATCCACCTTGTACAGGTGGCATTTCATCCCAGGCAGTGTTACTTGACAGTTAATTTTTTAACCCTTTAACCTCTACATTGGTGAGCAAAAGCAATTAGGATGCATGGTGAATGGGACTTACTCAAATCACTTTTTTTGTCACCATGGCTATCCCAGTAGATGAAAGAGGAAGTTGGTGTGGGTATTTATGAATGCCTAAAACATACTATTTGCTGAAAGCAAACTTGCAGTATATGCACAAGATCCTTATTTTCTGGGAGTTTATATGCTGCTTAGAGAATACCTAAAACCTGTGCCTTTTCTAGGTACAAATGAATGTTAAAAATGCATGTGTTTTTCTATGAGTATCATGCATCAGCCACTTGAGATAGGAAAGAATCTTAGGAAGAAGAGAACATTAAAGGGTAGATTTTCTGTCATTTGCCTTCACTGAGATAAAATTGATGCACAATGCTATGTTAAATGACACAGACACCAGTTGTAACAGTGTGTTACCTCCTGACCTAGTGCTCTGGTCATTTCATCAATAGCCAGTCACACTGCTTAATTCAAAATATTTACACACTCCACCATTGAGTACTGATGGATTTGGACAAAAGAATACACTCATTCAAACATTTATTTATTGAGCTTCTTGTATGTACTACATGGAGGGGAATAAAAAGATGAATAGTACCTATTCCCTGCCCTTGAGGAAGGACAGATAAACATGCAAATAGTTACACAAAATATGAAGAGTGATTTCCAAGGGTTAAAAAGTGATCTAAGAATTCTAAAAGGGAGTGCTGTGTCTTTCTGAAGTTGACTAAGAAAGCCTTCATAGAGTGGGTAGAACTGCACAAGTGGCCTTTGTTTCTTACTACACTAGCAAAAATAAGAGAAAGGATAGTGTGAGATGAAATGAAAGATGTTTATTCATTGCCATTTTAGTTTTATGGGTTTTTTTTCTTAGGACAGAGCATCTTTATATTTTTAAGTCTCCAGAGCAAAGGTGGGAGGAGATGATGGAAAGGAAAGTGAGATTAGGATTAACTATTTGTATTTGAAGTTTACTCTGTGAATTACTTTTTAGATGGAATCACTCTGATCACCAAAGATGAAGCCTCTGGAAGTTCTGTCACAGCTGAGGAAGCCAAAAAGGTATTAAGAAAGAATTCCCTGTATTAGATGAATCATTGTGGTGGACATTATTTTCCTAGATGTCCTTAAGAAGTTAAATTTTAAGGTGCCTGAAGTAGGGCACTCATTCTTTATTCAGCCAACAAACAAATTGCTTCAACTGCAGCATACTTGTGGGAAACATAATCCACTCAGTTTTCCACAGGCCTCAGTTGTATTTCTGGAACTCACCTGTAATCCCAGCTTAAGTAGTCCTAGAGCTTCTGACTTCCCTAGTACATTCCAGGTTTAGCCTAGACCCTGGCAAAAGGCTATAAAGTCCACTAGCCCAGTGATTTCCCACGCTGGCCACACATTTAGTCACCTGAGGAACTTTTTTTTTTTTTTTTTTTTTTAATGCTGATTAAAAATCAGAATCACCCCAGAGATTCTATTCTGTTTGTTTGAGATGGGTGCTGGGCATGATTTGTTTGAATTTTTAAAGTCTCTCAGATGAATGTGCAGCGGGTAGGAAAAAACTCTATTCTAGCATAAAGGACATCCAGCTATTTTCAGTAAAGGTCTCTTTCAGTAGAAGATTAACACAATTGTTAGGACAAGGCCTCCCTGTCTGATGTATGAGCTTTGAGTCAAGAGTCAGCTATGAGTCACGATACACATAGCTATTTAGTTCACTGATCCTTCATTATACCTCAAGGTTGTGATGAAATTTTAATGGAATTAGATTCAATAGCTCAAAAACATAGTTTATAGCATTTAGTTTTAGTTACCGTCACTAATGGATCCAGTCTTGCTAGGACAGTGCCTGGCAACCACCCTGACAAACCTTCTGCTATGCACTACGTCCTGTGCTGCATGCTGACAGCCCTCTGCCCTCTGTAGAAGCTCAAACATTGGGTACAAGGGAGCATAGGGTGGCAGTGGAGACTCAAAAAAATAACTGTATATTCTGAGAGAGAGTTTGACCTGGGGCCAGCAGATAGGAATGTATCGAGGGAATGGCAGGAGCAAGTTCACCATAGGTCTCAATTCAGGCTAAATGGAAAATGCCTCCAACTTTCAACTATACAAAGGCATCTGACAGAAACCATATTGTTTGGGAGACAAGTTAATCAGCATATATAAGAGTTTTTAATCAGTACTGAGCCTGGCAAAAGTTTTTCTTAAAGAACAGATATGGTCCCTACTTTCAGGGAGTATGTTTCTAGAATTTTAGACACATACTCTTAGGAGCTGACTGTTGTCTCAGAGGGGTTCGCAGTGTCTGTACCCTCTTCCACAGTCAGTAGTGAGTACCAAGAGTTTGGGTATGTCAGGTAACAGTTTGGCTTTATTTTTATTTGTCAGTTTATACAATATTGCGATTTTATTTTCCCCTTGGACTGTAGTAGAATTTGTCAGTCAGAATTTTCCAGAGAAATAGAACCAAAGAAAACACACACACATACACACCTCCCTCACTTGATTGATTGATTGACTTTAAGGAATTGGCTCATGTGATTGTGGGAGCTAGCAAGTCCAAAATGTATAAGATAAGCTGACAGGCTTGAAACTCAGACAAGGCTTCTTTGTTAGTCTTAACAGAATTCTTTTTTGGGAAACCTGTTTTTTTTCTCTTAAAGCCTTCAACTGACAGGATAAGACCCGTCAGTTATTGAATGTATTGAAAATGATGTTAGCTGATTATAACTGGTAAACTCATTTACAAAATACCTTCACAGAAATATCTAGAGTAAGTAGTGTTTCATGGAACAGCAGGGCACTATAACTTAGCCAAGTTGACACATAATGTTAGTCTTTACGTATGGTGAAGGTTTTTGCTAAACAAGTAAAATACGTCAAGACATACAATTTAATTTTAGTCATTATTGCTTTACAAAAATCTGTCATCCGAGTGAGAATTGAACACATTACAGTCTTTGGAGGAAGTGGGGAGCACTGGTCTAGAAAAGGTAATGCTCCCTCCTAGCCGTGCATCTTAACCAAGTGTCACAGCTCATTGAATCCTGAATATTAGAGAGGAAAGAAATCTAGAAAGGGATAATGCATTTTTAAATTGTGTGAGGCTTGTTCTGTATTGCAAATGTGATATCTTCTTTGGAATTTAAGGACACAGAGTCTGATAATTGAGCTATAGAGAAAAATTTCAGTTAATTGCTAGGTATGAGGTGGTATCCTTAGATGATTCTAATATCACCAGAACTGACTTCAGTTGTAGTTTAAGACAACTCTGGTAATGTCACTATATTTGAATAGAGAAAACTTAATAAAAAACATGAAGAGAATCTCTTCTCCCAGCATGGGATACCTGGCTTTGTCTTGCATCTTCTTCCTTTTGGAGCAATTTCCAGTCAGGGCACACTAAGTACACTTTTGATACTGCCAGCAAAACTTCACTGTTTTGGCACATAAGAAGGAGGAAATTCAACTGAAATGTATTGAGCACCAGCTCTGTGCTAGGCATTTTGATGTACGTTGTTTTGTAGCATCTGAAATTAAATTTGCACGTTAACCTTACAGACGCACATCTAGAAAATGCCATTTTCTTTTTTTCACATTTATCAATGCTTCAGTCAATTAAATATTTATACCAAATGTTTATATAACATTTGACTTCTAAAAAAAAGCATTCACATTATGTGATGTTTACTTAAAACATGCACATTTTATCTAGATAATGATAGAAAGAGATGGTAATAAAATTTTGTGTAGGTCTGGGATGTAGCTCAGTGGTAGTGTGCTTGCCTAGTGTGCGCAAAGCCCTGGGTTTAATCCCTAGCACTGGGGGGAAGAAATTTTTTTTGTATGTATCTTCAGAACCAAGTGTCCAGTACAGTCTCTGTGATCCTCATATAGTGATCTGCTACGAATTGGCAGGAGCAGAATACTGTCCTGTTATCACTGGGAAACCAAATTCTACAAAGTTTAAATGGGGTTACACTATGAGCACTCAGAGGCAGCAAGAAGATTAAAATTCTGGTCCCTGTGCACTGCACTGGACCTTCATTCCTAGATAGATTTAAGTCTTACAAATAATCTATAAAATGCAGTAGTCCCTATTTTCCTTATTCTTTTAATATATTTACTATAAGTTATTAAAAGTTAGCAAGCTGTCAAATTCTTGCTATTAAGTGTTATTTGAAAGGAAATAATTATCTAGGGTTGTCCATTTTAGGTGGAAATTAAATTATAACTTTGCACTTGTACAACACCTTAAAGAGAGCCATTTTCTTCTAGTGTATTTTTAAAATATGTGAATTTTGTGATTCTTTTGAGAAACAGGTAAGTTAGCCCTACTGCAGACATAGAATATTCTTCCATAAATTTAGGTAATCAAAAGTTTCCCAGTAGCTTTCATTTCACTTTGAAACCTACATATTACCCATCTCTGGAGCCCATTTTTATTGTCATTATAATCTGTCAATTCTTTCATTTAACCTTTTCTGTTTCTAGATGGTAGTGTTAGACATTCCCTTAGCATTTGATGTTGGATAAAGTCTTTGTGTAGTCCTGAGTGCCTTTATCCATCATGTTGGTCTCACTTCCTGGTGCTCTCATAGGCAAGAGAGGTAAAGCAGGGTTTCTAAGATCTCAAAATAAGTGACTGACTGGGAATCTCTTTCTAGGACTGACCCCTGGTCTCCTGTCATCTTATTCCATGTTAAGAACAGGAGAAAGAGGATTTATCCCCAAGCCTTGAGGAATCCAAGAGGCTGAGCTATATCTAAATATTCATTAGATTCAAGCTTTTGGGGGTGGGGGACATTTTTAGCACTTGTTTTCCTTTTAACAGCCTCATCTATCCTTTATTTGATCAGTTTTCTATCTTAATATCATAGATACTTAGTTTAGTGATCTGGTTTTTTCTCTAATACCATCCAGAAAGGTGAAGTTGAATAACTCAGTGTCTCACAGCAAGCTAATGACTAGCAGAACTGACCAGAACCAAGACCCCCTGGACTCCTACTCTAGCCACCCTCCCTCCACACCATGGCTTCACCTCTCCATGCCTCCACCAGTCACATCTGTTTAGAGAAGAGATACTCAGTGCTTTCTCTTTCAAGAGTACACCCAGTTTCGTGCAGATGAATGTATAAGAGATCACCAAAGCCTTGCAAAGGATTCTAAGATGGTTTAAGAATCTCTAACTACTGGCCCCTGTTGGACCCTGTGACATTTACTTTTGTTCTTTTCTGATTTCCTAAATCTCTGGTGTGGTTTTTCAGTATGCTAGTATAAGAAAAGCAGCAATGCATATCAGAGTGTTACCTAATGTTTGTTTAAAGCTTGAGACTTTTAAGATAACATTTTAAATTTTCATGAAGATGGAACATGTATAGTAATTGAAGACATCATATGGTATACAAGTTGATGAACTCTTACATATTCATATACCTGTATGCCCACCACCCAAAAGGCTCCCCAGGGCTTCCTCAGTCAGAGCCCTTCTATCCCCCAAGTAACCAGTACTCACTTCTGTCACTTGAGAAGAGTTTTGCCTGTTCTTGACTTTCGTATCATTGGAATCATGCCTAATGGTTCACTGATGTTGTAATTACTCATTCTGTATTATAACTATGTAGGATCCCTTTTAACAATTATACTGCAATTTATTCATTGATTACCTTGATGATGGGCATTTGATTATTTCCAAACTTTAGCAATCATGAATAAAGATATGCTAGATATTCTTACATATTGCTTGGTGGTTGTATATTAGGTATATTCCAAATAATTAGAACATAAAACTTAAACTGCCACAAAGAATTTTTGCTCTTTATTTCTTCTGAGGTTCACCACAACACCATAAGATAAATAGGGTGAACAGTAGTATTTCCTTTTTATTTTTGAAGAAAATTAGTTATGAAGTGGTCCCAAAGTTTTCAAGTGCTCCTGAAGGGCCGAGGTTATGGTTGTGTTCTACACACCAGGGTGGAGGATTTTTCTGATGAAGTCTATTGCCATTATTGCATAAAATAAGCTACATATGACATTAATGAAACCTAAATTTATGGCATTTTAGGCAAACTTGTTCATTTTGATGCTTTTTTATACATCTGGGGTCACCTGATAGTGTTGGAATCAGCTTGATGGAAGCCAGGTGTTTTTAATTTGGGCGTTGGTAGGGGTCTGAGCACAAGCTGATTGTTAGAGGTTATTGATTCCATTTCTCTGCTTGTAGCCAGGATTACATTTCAGTACACAATGAGTAAAAGTAGTAGTTTATTCATCTCATAAAGATCTCTAGGTAAGAGGCTCTTTGTGCCAACACCACGTGGATGATGGCTGAGGAATGGGGAATGTATCACACAAGTGTCCTTTCTATTTATTATCTCCTTTCTCAGCATTCTGCAGAGGAAAAGGACAGGAGAAAAGAAGAAACTTGACTCCTACCCTTTTCTGCTGCATTCAGAGAATGGTTCCTTTTATTGAGAAAGCAAACCAGTCCTTGAATTCTCTGCTCTGTCTATAGCTTCCTCTAGCTTCCCTGTCACTGCTTAGCCTGGAAATTACTTGCCATTAAAAACTCTGATGAGGAAGAGCGCTGTGTATAAGAGATCAGCCTTGCCCGGGCTTAGGAACATAATGGATGGCAGCTCAGCTTTTAGCCATAATTTGCTATGCAGAAATGTGAGGCAGATCTGTCAGGGAAATCAGCTGCAGATGTTTATCACTTGATGGAAATGAAAGGGTTTTTATGCTGCTGCTCCTCTCTTCCTAGGAAGTTGGCCTATCCTCAGACATGTGCCATTGTGTTTGATTACATATACCATGGTCACACTGTGCGGACAGACCTATCTTAATTTATCCTTTAATTTCACTCTAAAAGAGGGTTTTCAGGTGAGGAAGGAATGGGAATTGCAACTTTTAGAGGCTGAATGCCAAAAAACATCAAGAATTTTCTATATTCATCTATAAATACCTATAATGTTTCAGATTACTAATGTAAAAGATGTAGTGGACTGTTGTGCAACTGAGCGCATGGAGTTTGTCATTTGTTTTGGATATGCTAGTTCTTTGGTCCCACAGAAGGCTATGACAGGACACAGCTCTGCCTTTTACTCTGTTCACCCTATGTGTTCGACGTGTTTTTTTTTTTTTTTTTGTACTGAGTATTGAGCCCAGGTCCTCATTCATGCTAGACACCTGCTCTACCATTGAGCTACATATCCCCAGCCCTCACCCTAACTGGATGAGACTTATTCATTAGCCATATATTTCTAATATAGGGAAAACCATGCAATGGTTGATTACAATGAGTAGGGAAAGCAAGATACAATTTTTAATAGTGACAATAATCAGGAGAACTATAAAGATTAATTTGGAAACCATGTGCAATAAATGTATGAATTTCTTATTTATCTATACTTGGTTCTCAGATATCTCTATTAATAATCACCCACAATAAATTGAATTAATGATACAGCAGCTGCATTACATTTCTCTTCCAGACTGTCTGCCCCCATTGCAAGGATTTTCTGCGTGTCATAGCATTGATTCCCAGCCCTGCACATAGTTCAGTAAAATCCATATGTGTCCTTAAAAGAATTAATCTCTCAGTCAAAATGAAGGTTCAAGAATAGTGAAGCAACAAAGTCCAGGGGAGAGGTCAAGTCAACCTGGCCACATCTGTGTCAAGGCAATGCCCAGCTATGTAGAAACAGCCTTTGCTGTTACCATTATGTTAATTGTGTGTGAGTTTGTATGCTTCAGAAATGGAAAGATGGGCAGAGCTTGCTTCCTGAGATTTGCTGCGTGCAACCTAATTAGTGAATGACTTTGATTTATAATTTGTTAAAAGAGATATAGTTTATTTATAGGTCTTAGGTTTCAAAGACCTTTATCATGTCCTCTGTACCATAACAATAACAGGAATGTAAGGAAAAGCAGTTCTTGCCATTTTTTCATGTTGATAACATGTATAACAAGATTTGCCTGAGTGGAGGCAGCTTCAGGAAAGCAGCATTAAGCCAAAAGGCTCCAACACAAGTGTGCTCCACTGCACTCTGGCTGACTTAGGGAATGCTGACAGAGAGACATAGTCTACCTTTCATCACCCCCTTTAAAATGCTCATTCCTATAGGCTGGTCTGTGCTCCCAGGTAAAGGTCACATTCTCAGGATAGATAGGCATTGGTAGAACTTGGCTCTTGGAGGCAGTTGCCACATGCATGAAGTTTGAAAAGACACCCTACCATTATGTCTTGGAGGGACAGGATAGAAAAAAAGATATTCAAATGATTTTTTAGGGCACTCACAACTTTTTAAAATTCTCAGTATCATCCTTTGATCCTTACAGACCTGGCTTTAGGGCCTTTGCTTTTCTGTGTCTGCCTTTGATAAGTTCCAGGTCTAAAACACTGATGCCAAACAGAAGTTTTCTCATCCATTTTTTTATCTGCCCGTTTTCTGACAATTTCTAACAAATGGAAGGACTTCCATAAAAGGGATTAAGCAGCCTCTCAAGTTCACTCATTTTTTTTTTTTTATTTGAGTCAAGACACACTGTTTGGGGGTGCTTATTTTCTTAATCTTATCTTGCCAGCTTACTTGTGGAAGCAGACGTGAAATATCAAGTGAGGTATTCGTGTCCATTATGCTGATGTGGGACCCTCCCCAGATTCACCATCCTGATAAGCCCTGACAAATCCTCCCTCTTCATTAGACCTTTCTCTAGTAACTAGTTAGTATGGACTATTAAACCTCAAAATTGGTGCTCTTGTCCAGAGCCAAAGGAAGAATATGCCAAGATGTATGTGGTTTTTTTTTTTTTTTTTTTGGTTGTTGTTGTTTGTTTGATTTTTAAAGACCATTTGCAATGGGACTTTACTAAGCAAGCCTTCCTTAGGTTTGCCTGTGGAATGTTAGCAAACTGTTCGCTTCATCAAAAGAGGCAAAAATGTCACTGAAGTAACATGACTGATTTTCTATTCACAGTTTCTGGCCCCCAAAGAAAAACCACATGAAGACAAAGCAGCCATGTTTGAAGAAGGTGGTGATGTAGACGATTTGGTAAGCGCTTTCAATATATACCAGGTGTTCTAAAGAATGAAATTGAGCTGTAAATTCAGCCACAAAAGCTGCTTATCATAGACTTGTTTCTTATTTGTGTTTTAATTTCTAACGTATCAGAAGTTTTCTACACTGTTATTTATTGCCATTATAAATTTAATCAGATAGGTGATTTCATAATGGAAATTCCTATGTTCTGTGATTTCAACTACATTGTTCATTCAAATTAATTCTCTTCTTTGAAGGGCTAGAACGAGCTGGGGAGGCTATTTTCTTAGTAGCAAAATGTTATAATTTACTGAAATTGCTCTTAACCAAAAATAAGTAATACAACATGCAATTTGTGTGGGTTGACAAATAAGAACAGCCTTTAAGAAACCTACTTCTTAAATGTTCTCAATTAACTTAACATAAACAAAATAGACTAATAGGCATTTGAGGATTAGTGCACCTCATTACACCATGCTGTGGATACCTGGAAAACTGTATAAATATTGGAATTTACATCCATCTTTCAGGTTTAGAAACTTCTTCTCTTTAAACCTCACACAATAACTGTCCAGCAAAAACTGCATACTTTGCTTTCATCCTTTTTGTGAGAAGTTCTTAATACTGAAATGAGGAATGATTTGGTATTTAACTCCTAAAGTAGTTAGTAGTGAATAAGTGTGCAAGTCCATGCGTGTCTAACCAATGTAGTTTTCTTTTTTTTTAAATTTTTATTATTAGTTGTTCAAAACATTACATAGCTCTTGACATATCATATTTCATACATTTGATTCAAGTGGGTTATGAACTCCCATTTTTACCCTGCATACAGATTGCAGAATCACATAGTTTTCATTAAACTCTGTTTTGCCAGAGCATCAGTGGCAGGTCTTTGGGGTTGGAGGTGGGGGCAAGGATTGAATCCAGGGGTGCTTAATCACTGAGCCACATCCCCAGCCCATTTTATTTTTTATTTTGAGACAGGGTCTCACTGAGTTGCTTAGGGCCTCGCTAAGTTGCTGAGGCTGGCTCTGAACTTGTGATCCTCCTGCCTTAGTCTTCCAAGCCACTGGGATGATAGGCAGACAGGCATGCAGCACACATCCAGCCTGGTTCCCTTCTTAATATGTCATTTTTGTTTACAGCTGGACATGATGTAGGTCATGGATGTTTGGGGAATCTAAGAGAGCTGCCATCTTCATAGTGCTGGAGACTCTAAACACAACAACCTGGAAGCCATTCAGGGGAACCCGAAGCTGTGGAGATCATTTCAACAGGTTACTTGGAAGTGAATTCCCCTCCATCTCTATGGCGTGAACACATGCATACATGTTGTAAGAGATAATTCAGACCTTATGCAAAGTTTATAAAGAGGCATTCTTACTTTTTGTTTGGCGTATTATTTCTTTTGTGATTTATTCTTCTTAGTCTATTACACACATACTTTGAAGTTTCAGGAAAATAGATTCTTCCAGACCTGGTGTATTGGTGAGGATTACTCATGAAATGATTAGCATCTCCTCTGGAACCAGGGCATGATCACTGGTGAGTCCCACTTCTTTCCAGTCTGCTCCTCCAGTAACAGTCATGATGTGCTGATTGAGCAATGATGTTTGCTCCCTACCAGCAAGTGCTGAGATAGGAAAATCACAGGGAAGGACTGACCCATTTCTCTTTTTAGTTAAGCCTTTTTAATCACCACATTACTTTGGCTCTGTGAATAGGCAGTTTTCCATAAGCAAGGTGGGAAGGGAACATAATTTCCTTGAATTAGCGTCTTAAACTAGAAATGGTGGTGTTCTCATGAAGAAAAGGCCTACTTTTGGCCCAACCTCTATCATATCAGTGAACCTTTGGGGAAGGAAAAAAAAAAAAAAAACACTAAGAAATTCACAGCCAGGAGTTAGGTTATCATCCCATTCATTGTTCTCTACTTATGGGTGTCAAACAGAGAAGGTTTTGTTGTATAAAAACACTTTACTTTCTCAATCTCTCCCATTTCTACTTAAGTCAACTTTCATTTTCTCTTAATAATATTTCCTTTCCTGAAACAAGAAAATATGAAAGAAAAAGGAATGTCATTCCTTCCTGACATTCTTGCTCCTCCTTCTTTGGTATCATGAACTTCTTGAAGCCCAATCACCAGTGTCTTAAGTACCCCAAATAAATGGTCATGGATAGATTTCATTTTGAAAATGCATTGTTAAAGGTATAAATGACTCATTCCTCTGTGGATCACTACTAATTAACTAATTGTCCATAAATACACACACACACACACACATAAAATCTTCAGTGCTGTGCTGAGAATTAAAGCCCCTTTGTTCACTGATTGAAAATGGATCTCCAAGATGGAACGTCATTCATTCTACTGAGGAGAAGGAGTATCTCTAGGACCATCCCCTTGTGATACTCTCCACACTTGAGTCAAACTTGATGTATAGATGTCCATCTGAAGCTACCCCAGTGAGGGATGATGACATATGGATAGCTAAAACCTAAAGGATGTTTGTGATTTGGACAAAACTGAAGCATTCTTGAATTACAGAGAGTGAAAACTTAATCTCTAAATTTACATTCTCATCAGATTCTCCTGGCAGTATGAATCTGCTCAGTAAGTATGGCCCCTAAGCACCTTCTGTCTTTGGCAGTGTGGGGAATTACCTCTTGGAAACATCAGTTCTTCTGTCAAACCAGGAAAAGTGTGAATCAAGTTAGTCCTTTAGATCTTCTAATGTTTTTTGGTTGAGATTGTATGCAATAGGAAGAAAGAAGTTTTTATAGGCTAGGGAGAGACAGGACTAAATTAGCCATGTAATTAATTTCCAAATCCTTTTCCTACAGTTACAATATATGTGCTGTGCAGACTTCATCATAGTACACTGATAGGAGTAGGAACCTTGTGTTTTAGATGAACACATCAAGGTCCCTTTTCCCTGACATGAGCTTGCAGACCTACAGAACTTCTATATGTTCTGCTGACATCTTAAGAGCCTTGGAGAGCAGCAAGCACTGTGTCCTCATCCATCAGCCACAGGCTAGTCCTCAGAAGCCCAGTAGTCTGGCAAATGCTTGGCTTGTATGTGAATTGGAATCCACTGATTCTAGTCTTTGTCACATAGAAATGTCATTGAAATTTATTGATTTAGGAGGCACAGATAGAAGAAGGCAACTCACCTCCCAATCTTAATGCAAAAATGCCCCTCCCTCCTGCATTTCCTAATGCCCCTAAGGATATGTGCTGCCTCCTATTAAGAACCACTGTTTTGTTGTGCTCCATGGCACATACCTATAGTTCCAGACACTCAGAAGACTGAGGCTAAAGAATCACTTGAGCCTATGAGTTCAAGATCTAGACAACACTGTGAGACCCCCATCTCTATTTAAAAAAGAGAAAAATGGAAAAAAAAAAAAAGCTATTTAAATGCTGGATTTTAATCCTTTGCTAATTAAAGTTAAAATTTAGATCTTAGAAAATTCTTCAGAAAACCATGTTGGGGTTTGGCAGTTTTCTTTACCAGATCTAGGATGGTTTAAAAAATAAATGGACATAGATCTATGCTTCTGTCTTGAATGTGTGCTAATGACTGCCTTTGCAGCAATTGTGATTCAGGTAATTGTGATTGTGTCTGGCCCACTATCTCCCTTGGGCCTCGTTTCACATTGTTCTCTTCTCTAACAGGTAGTCTAGGTTCAGAACACAAGCTACTGGCTTATCAGAGTAGGTGGCATTAGGGAACATAATGTGGTTAGAGGAGAGAATATGAGGCTTTCCCAGATTTCAGGCTTGAGTCATGCCTCTTTTGCTTGCTGCGTGGCCCATGTTAAGATACTGGACCGAGGGGCTGGGGTTGTGGCTCAGCGGAGAGCACTTGCCTAGCATGTGAGAGGCACTGGATTCCATTCTTAGCACCATGTACAAATAAATAAAAACAAAGTTCTGTCAACAACTAAAAAAAGAAAAAGAAAAGAAAAAGATGGTGGACCTATCTCCTGCCTCAGAGGATTATTAAGCTGAAGCAGGCCTATGAAAGTGCTCTATAAACTCTAAGGTGCTTTCCACAAATTAGGTGGTTTTATGAATACTCCAAACGGAAGGCATGGGCAGGATATATGGAATTTTTTAATACCTTGAGTATTCCAATGCTAATTTCCCTTATTACCTATTGTTATTGGACTTAGGTTCTCTTTTATTTAATAAGTAGATAAGAAAACCTATCGGTGTGATCAGAGGTACTAGGTTAGGATTCAGGGCAGGTTCTGATGGTTTTGACAGGGTGACCATACATTCCTGCTTACCAGGAAATTGTCCTGGCATGGTTGATAGGCTCTCTTTCACTCTTCAAAAGTGTCCTGGTGTGGATTATAGATTGTATGGTCTATAAAACCCTGTGTGTCGATCATATTGTAAATATCACAACAGAGCCCAAGGAATGGCTCAGTGCTTGCCTTTATTGCCTTGCCCCTCTGCTGGTAACTCTTGAACTAAATATGCAAGGAACAAACAACAAAATGGAAATTATCATACTGCTTTCATATTCACTTGTCTTAAAGTTCTTTGGAGCAGCCAGGTTGCAGCTAATGGTGTAGATTTGTTGTCTGCCTCATACATCCAGACCTTACCACCAACTCGCTACCAACAGAGCAAAGGATTCTCACTAGGCCTACTCAGATGGAGTAGGCCTGGCTTTCTTGCCTGGATGACAGCATGGAGCAGAAAGTGGAAATACATATGGTCTTTGACACATGTATACCCTAATGTGGCCCAGGCTCTACTCTTATGTATAGTCCTCTCTGTAGCAGGCAGGGGAATAGTAGCAGGGGGTGTGCAGAAGGGGCTATCCCCACCCCATATCTCACCTCTACATAGGCCCATCCACCTATCAGAAGTAGAGTTTCTAACCCCTGTGTAGTGTTGTTGGCTTCCTGAAGTCATTTTGGAATGGGGGAAAAAATGCCTCTTCTCCATCTAAATGTAACCCAGGACCAGAGACCTGTTTAGAGAGGCATAATAGCAGAGTGCTTCAAAGTGTCACCTGGATGTTAGATGCTCCTTTGTTAACTCTCGTTGTCAGTAACACTTAACAGCTGCATGGCCCCAGCAAGTTCCTTAACCTGTGTAAACAACAAATAATGAAATTTCTTGCATTTCATCTGTGGACACGGTGGACTCAGAGAAGACAGGATCTTCTCAAAGGGGATTTGAAGATGACTTTGCAGAAGGTGCATGGATAATGAGAACAGCTGCTGCCTGGATGTAGAGGGAGCCACCCAGATATGCCTCAGCTGCAGCTCAGAACCCAGACCTACCTGCATTTGCACTGCAGCATTGTGGGGCAGGGGGCTACTAACAGGGCTCTGATAGACACACTATGGTATTGGCATGTGTGAGTATCCAGATTTCTATAAGTTTCTCCCTGTTACCTTCTTAGCATGCTGGGAATTGTAACCACCCTCACAAGGTTATTGTTAGGATTAACAGCATATAGTCTATTGGCTAACAGGGATGGGAAATAAAACTTATTTTGCATAGAATTCTCCCCTTAAGAACTGGTGCATTTTGTTGGGTAAACACTTTGTATTTGTAAGATGGAATGGTGGTGTATACAACAAGGAGTGTAGAAGGAAGATGGGACCCTGCAGAGCTGGAAGGAGGAGGTGGTAGCCCTGCTGTTCTGGCTGGTTTCCAACCAGACTATTGATGAAGGTTATATTATAAATGAGGGCAGGATTGTAGACAAGGAGGTGGGTGAGAAGAGAAGAGTGATGGGACAGCTGCATGGGTAACTTTGGGGAACAAGGAAGATCAGATGTTCGTGGGCATTCTTTTCTTCATTTGTCCTGGGTATGGTGAAAGTGAATGTCCATCTCCCCACTGAATGTTCAGTGTAACACCCATTTCTTACTAGTGTGTTTGGAGTTGGTTATTGTAGGGGATGCATATCAGTACTGTGGACTGTGACTTGTTTCAAGAAGACTAAGGGTAAAAACAGACTGCCCAGGGGGAGTCCATTCATCTCTGAATTGTGTGCATGCCTTGCTTCTAAACCTGAAATCAGACAAATGTAAATGGCTGTGTACTCTCCTGCATAGAGGTTGAAATAGAGAAACCTGTACTTTCACCTACAGCCAAAATCGAACATCTGTGTAACTCCCCATTTATAATTATGAACAAAAATGTACTCCATTCTTGAAAGTAACTGCAGGTAACAACTCATTCAGGAAAGTACAAAAGGTAGCATATGAGACATTTATCTATGCTCAGAACTTTTAAGTTTGCATTCCAAGCTCTTAGTTTGAATTTAAGTGAACTCAAACTGGAGCAGGATGAAATACAATATCTAAGGACTGCATGTATATCACATGGGCACATCACCTTTGTTGTTTATTTCAAGGTTGCTG